GAGTGGGCTCGAGATCTCGAGGTCCATATTGAGTTCCAGGATGTTGAATGGGGGACGGGTGGTTGCGTGGTTACTGAGTGGTTGTTGTCCTGGAAACGAGCGGTGGGATCCTCACAAACACAGAGTATTGGTTACAGGATGGTGGCGAGCTGGAGTCATTCCCTTGACAACATCTAATTTGAAAAGTGGTAATTCGATCAGTGGGTCAGGGACAGATGTATATTTATAGAAGAGTTTGTAGTGCAACTGAACTCTAGGACGCATGCATTTTAGCAAGGGGCATACAAATTTGGTTATTTGATTATTTTGAGACAATCTCACTAAGCAAGGGCACACAAATTGAATATTAAAAGCATTCACCGGTACAGTGTACAGGCAATCATAAGAAACTGTGACTAGTAAAACGTGAAACAACTTAACAAAATATCGTACATAACACAAAAAATGTATCAAGTTCACCGAGATATAAAGGGCTGCTGATCACAGATGGTTGATTGGTTTTGAACCTGGCGCGGGGCCAGGGAAAGGAGGGCACCATAGTGGCTGTGAATGGGCACAGGGCACCACTACACTGTAAGGTGGTCCAGGGAGGGGGACAAGGGACAGAGGAATTTGGCGGCATATTTATTATTTACAGGTCGGAATTTTTGGGTGAAAATGATCAGGAACTATTAAGACGTCACCTTGCGATGTGTAAGGTTGGGCGTATTCAGAACTTGTTGAACAGCAACAATATCGGTTCCAATTGGCAAGAACAGAAATACAGACAGCCCTAACTTAAAATTTGGGCGGAAGTAAATATGAACGCAGAGGGGATGGTGCCAAACAAGATACATATACTACATAACAGTAGGCATGATAACATTGACAGACACTTAGTCTAGAATGTCAGGTTTATGATTATCTCACTTTTGAAGACGGTTCTATCATTGTAGAACAGCAGACAAGGACGTGCAGGATTAGGCCTTTGGGATGAAGTCGAACAAGACTATCAATTACACAATCAGTGAGTGCGAAACGTCGATCCTGATCAAAATAGACATACCCCCACTCTCGAAAAGAATTTAATTATCACAGAAGCGAAGAAATGCTTTTACTTAAGTTGAGTTATGCATTACTTTTATCATATTTTATTGATCTAAGGTGTAGTATTACCAGATCCCGGTTCAATTTGAAACTGAGTTTTCAGGAAACGATGTAACAGAGTCGATATATTTTAATGTTGCCATGGGGTGGCAAGTCCCCATACATCGTGGTCCGATAGTTTCATTGCATCTTAATATATGTAACTCAGAGAATGGAAACCAAGCTTAAAAGTATGGTATTTCATGGGGCAAAAACAAGCAGCAAAAATCTGGCTGGGACTAAGGATCAGGCTCTCTGACGTGACCAGTACAGCGGAATGTTAAAACACTACGCAATGATACAGAAATAGAAACAATAGGATCACATCAAAATTCAAACAATGCAGAGACCAAAGAGGACCGGGGAAACGATGATATCCCGATCAAAATAGGGAGCGTGCTAGTTTGGGAGCGTGCTAGTTTGGGAGCGTGCTAGTTTGGGAGCGTGCTAGTTTGGGAGCGTGCTAGTTTGGGAGCGTGCTAGTTTGGGAGCGTGCTAGTTTGGGAGCGTGCTAGTTTGGGAGCGTGCTAGTTTGGGAGCGTGCTAGTTTGGGAGTGTGCTAGTTTGGGAGCGTGCTAGTTTGGGAGCGTGCTAGTTTGGGAGCGTGCTAGTTTGGGAGTGTGCTAGTTTGGGAGCGTGCTAGTTTGGGAGCGTGCTAGTTTGGGAGCGTGCTAGTTTGGGAGCGTGCTAGTTTGGGAGCGTGCTAGTTTGGGAGCGTGCTAGTTTGGGAGCGTGCTAGTTTGGGAGCGTGCTAGTTTGGGAGCGTGCTAGTTTGGGAGCGTGCTAGTTTGGGAGCGTGCTAGTTTGGGAGCGTGCTAGTTTGGGAGCGTATCGGTTTGGCGGAATACTGAATCCTGACTTCACCGATTAATTGAATAATGCGTCAACTGTATCAATTGTTTCATTCTCAGGTTCATTCAATAACTATAAATGTACCAGGGTTAGGTGATACGATATCAGAGAAACATGCAAGTTGCAACAATTCTCTGCATTACGGGACGTTGCAATCAGAAGATATCAACTTCAGAAAGGAAACAGTGTTGAGAAACAAACTGCAGGTAAGGACAATGAAATTATCCAAACATACGAGTTGATGAGTACTTAGTAGGGAGCTAGGGAGCTAGGGAACCATTGGCATGCTGCTACCCAGGGGACAGCATACCTCCATGAAATTAAGGTGGTTTGTGAACGAGTGGAGCTGGTTTTTGATTGGTCAAGTAACCAGACAATGTCACTGAAGTGGGCAGTGAAATTAGTAGAGGGAGAGACAGGACATTCCGGATCAGATTGCACTTTTCTTAGAGCTCGATTTAACACCAATTTAATGATCGGCGTGGTATTTGACGGGGAAGTAGCGTGTGATGATCTGTTTAGATGTACATTTTCTGATGGAGTTATCCAATTTGTGAAATTCAAACCTATACCATCAAATAGATGCGGAAACGACTGGTTCTCGAATCTAAGAATCTAGAATCGTGCTGATAAATGCTCTCGGAGTGTCAGTACTGCATTGAAGACCGGAGTGACAATTGAAATAAAGGCTAGAACCGTTCGGAAAATGAAGAATCTGATATAATGAAGGGTAGGTGTTATTACGAAGTTTCTTCTGGCCCACTGCCAAGTCGACATAACCACAGCTCCGAGCCACACCGCTATTTATAACACAGGAATTCCAGGTAGTTGGTATTTTATAGCTATACTAGTGGCGAGCATGTTTCGGGGCTCACAAAACAAGACTTTTACAAGCAGGCAAGATAGAATGGAACATTAAACAAGCTGTAACATTCTGATATTTTGTTATGCAGTCTGAGGAAGTGAGGATTGCCATCAAAGTGGAAAGAATGTAGCCCAAATTCCATGGTGCAGATGTCCCTTGCTACTGTTATTATACCCGTTTTTACTGTACGCTTGCTTTTTAAAGTGTAATTGAATGTAATGGAAGAACTCATATAATTATAGGCCATTTTAGATATCGCTGATGACGCAAAACAGAATAAAAATATGACTTATGACAAATTGGAGACAGTTACCTGCTCAGGTTACGAGACGTCAAGAGAAATCTTGTGACAGAGCAAGCATGTACTGATATGAGAACTGAGAAGGTGAACTTAATTAACTCTGAGACACTCATTAGTAACTTGATAAGCGACTTCAGGGCAGTCATATACAAAAGTGCACTTACAAAGTCACACATACATCAAAAGTACACTTAATGACAGAAAAGTGAGGTCAGATGAGATTGGCTCCTTGGATCGAGATGTGGCAACATCTGTTGGCAGACTTAGTGGCAGACCTTATCTAACAAAACTTTAGCCAGCCCATTTGAAATTTGATGAATCAATATAATATTCTAAAATTATAGTTCATATTTATCAGAAATCATCTGGTTACGCGAATACAATGGAGGTGCGCTAAAATTTAATAATGGTTTGATCGAGAACATATTTAGATTTTTAAGCTATATCTAACTTGATTTAAGCTATATAACTTGATAAGAGTTAAGGCAGCTTGGGCCAGCGCCAGGGAGGTGGACATATCATAACTCATTCACAGTTTGAGATAAAGATAAAATTTACTGAGGACAGTAATATTACTACGATCGCGATAATTAGTTTATATATGTGCAGAGTAAGTTTGAATTAATTTTGATAATGATATTCGTTGTGTTTCGAATGAAAATTTCTGATGATTCCGTGTATTGTCGTAATACACGTACGGAATCATCAGAAATTTTCATCGGAAACATCACAATAATGCGACTAATGAACAATGTTTGTATCCGGATATTACACGGTATTCTTAGTTATTTACATCCTGAGATATGTTTTCATAGTTTGGGCTATTATTCTATTACGCATACGACGATTCATGAATGATTGAGGCTCGATTTACAAATTTACTAATAATTTGTCGGATTAATTTCAACTTTTGCTCAAAAACAATGAGCAAGGTGATATACGATATACAGTGAAGACTAAACTTGAAGCGCTAACTCGAATGAACAAGAAGGATCCACAAGAAGATGAAAATTTGACACCACGAAGCAGCATGGAACACGAGAAAAACGCCATCCACTGTCAAGCATGAAGAATGTAAGAAGTGAAAGTACACGGTGGAAACATTATCTGTTATTACAGTGTAAACACAATGCACTACCTAAAACTTCGCAGCAACAGCTGCTGCTACTGAAAAGTGAAAACAACTCCTCCTAAATAGCTGTTATTATTCTCTGTGATAGTGAGCAGATTTTTTCCATCGCCTTAAAAAGGCATTAGATGGTTAGAAGTGGTAGGATTTGAGGATGGGTATATAATATTGACTAATTTGTATCTAAAACAGGTTTTAAATAATGAGTTACGAACGAGACACCGTTATCAGACAACCACGATAATTATACTGTAGTATTGACATTCAAACTCAAACAATGTATTTATATAGTCAAATATTTGTCGTCCCTAATGACTCGAGGAGACTGGAGCAAATATTTTAGAATGTTTTGAAGTGGAAAAAGTTTCAACTACCACCATTTTGCTCCAGGTGGGAACAATTGATAATCTGTTGTGAGGACAATAAAAGGTGTGTTAGTTGCGCTAGCGACTAGAATGTGTACACTAGAGATACACTAGAGCATGTGGCAGATAAGGTAAAAAGTGAGGAAATGTGAAATTATTAGAATCTTATACAATAAATTGTATTGTTGAAAATATTATTTAAGGGTAAATGTGTTCTGACAGATAAAAGCGGTGTACACTAAACATCCCCAATAACACCAACAGTACGAATCTGCTACCTGTACAAACAGACTCTGTAATAACACCCCCCCCCCCCCACTCCTTAAAACAACAACATCTGTCAGTTGGTAACAAATTGCTTACCTCTTCCTCGACAGTCTTCAGCCGAGATATCTCGCGTTTCAAGCTGTCAATCTCTGCTTTCCTGTCATCTAGTTTCTCTAGGTGGTCCTTCTCAGCTGACTCCAACTCATCTACTCGTGACTTCAATTCTGATAACCTGAAAGGAAGTATTGTTATTATAATGCTTCTTTCAATTAGTACCATGTGGATAACCGGGGCCAAAATGTTTTTGAGGGGGGGGGGGGGGGATAATAGGTATTTATGAGGTTGCCCCCCCCCCCCCCCACCCCCTGTTGATTAACTTGAAAGCAAGGAACATAACAAAGATGGCTGCTTATTATTAGTAATTACCATTGTGGACAAGAAAGAACTTTAAAAGAAGCTGGGGAGATCATATATATTCTCACCACCCCGCTAACTACAGAAAACCACTCTTCATATTTACTTGGTGGTGATGCCATCCAGTTCCTGCTGTTTTGATTCTAGATCCTTCTCCAATATTCCAGCCTTGTCCCTGGCGGCCACAAGATCTTGAGAGCTCGCTCTGAGGTGCTCTGCACTTGCACCCAAATCTGTGGGTTATTAAACAGTTAATTTGTTTATTATCAATTAATTAATATTGTGGCTAATAATTCTAGAAAATCTGGAACATGTCACAGAATTTAAACATCTAGTTTTTAAGGAAAAGCAGCGATAACATTTTTAACAATTTAACATCGATTTCGAATAGAAGTTAAAGTTGCTTTTATTGGTCAGATTAAAGCACGTGTTTTTGCACTTGTACTTACTGACTACTTTTAATTTTCTGATCACTTACTCGACCGTAAACTATAAATTATATAACTCAATAAGTGGTGTACCACACGTACCTCGGACATGCTTCAATAAAATAATCTCTATGTCACTCTCGGTACATTACAAAATGCTAACACACCCTGCCCCACACACACACACACACACACACATAATCCAGTATTGGTCACCAAATGACACCATCTGTTTGACACGATACTGTCACGTTGGTTAAATGTGCACCTTGCACCTCGGCACTATTCTCAAGTCTCCTCAGCACTATTCTCAAGTATGCGCGTATTAAATGTCCCTATATATCCTATGGTATGAGATCACACTCCTATGTTAAAGTAATATACAGCGCCACTGCTATATATTATAGAGCGTAGTTATAGAGCGTAGTTTAGGACGTAAGGCACACATACAGAGTGCTATATTTCAGGTGATAATGTGCCTTGTCTGATATCATCAAACATTTTAAATATCTAAATTTAAAGGCATTTTTCGAGGAAATGCATATTTTGACTATCGGCCAAAAAAACCATATAAATGCGAAATGCCTCACGTTCAATTAACGTATTCTAATAGCTTGACCACATGATTTACCTTTGCCCTTCTTTTTCTTGAAGGACATATTCAACCCTGATTTGCGTTTAGGAGTATCACCATCGGGTGTGTTGATACCAACAGTGCTACGGTTCAGACTGCTCGAGTCCGAGTCCCTTCTCTCAGAACCCGTCTGTGGACTCAACAGTGCCGACTGGTCCGGAGTTGCAACCTCTTTCTCCGGAGAAGGAGTCTTGTCTTCTTTCTTCTTCTTCTTCATGGAGAATCGGGATGATTTCCCCTTTTTCTCAGCACTCTGTTCAGAAGATCCGCTGACTGGAGCCATGTCGTCCTTTGAGTATCAGGGTCAAACAAACAAAATCTCAAACTACAAACTCAGGGAGAGTTTTTTAAATATAACTGTTTTGGGACGAATGGCTGGTAGGTATGCACTCTGTAACCCAGTACCCACCCAGTATAATTTTTCACAATGCAGAAGATATTTTTAGACGGAATTAGCTAGGGTAAAGACCAATGCCAGGCCTCGGAAAACGTCAAGTTTAAATACGTATTACATACGTCTTGTACCTTTTTCTCGCTCACATTTATACCATGTGAGGCATTGCGGCAACATTATTAAGCATAATTGCTCAACGGTAAGTTCAAATTAGATTTAAAGGGGCGGAAAAGACATTTATAAATAGGCCAGCAACCAAAAGCAATGGATAGAATGCAGAAAGCAGCACTACCCAACAGATTGTGAAAATACAAGGCATGAAAATTAAGAAATAAGTCGGGCATGTAATAATAAGCGTATCGCTGCACGAGCCACGAAGCACCTCAAAAAGCTTGCACAAATTAGTCAAGTGTAGGTACTGAATACACAGCCTCTTCCTTGTTAAGGAAGATGGTACGCACTACGCGTGAATTCACCAAGAGGTTTAGATGTATATCCTAAAAAGGTACAACTTACGACCAAATATGCTAATATGGTCATCGGAAACTACCAAAAAAGGACTTGGTCGATATGTTCGTTTCCTAGTGAAGCGAGAGTAAACAAGTACAAGTATGACCATTTAAATGAAAGAACTAACAAAAACAATGTAGGTTTTCAATAGACCGTAGCCACAATACAATCATTGTAATATTCAAACTTGAAACTCAAAACTACAGAAATCTCATTTTTTAAAGTAACAGTAGTTTAACTCTGACAGACAAAATTTTGAACTCCATAGTCCGTACGTTTTTACACAGGTGGTCAATGTTCACGATCGATTATACGATTATCTAAACGATAGAGACAAACATAATGATCTTCAGAAACTTACACAGACTTACACAGACTTACAGAAGGACCAACCCGGTTTGATCTTTGTCCTATTCTTCTTTTATTGGTACAGTATTGGTATCTATTTTTACCTATTTTTACCTATTGTCACCATTTATCTTTGCTAGTTAATTAGGTTACAAATCGTATAAAACAGCAACTGAAAGTTTCATTAAACTAGCAGAGTGCAGAATGCAGAGTGCAGAGTGCAGAGTTTCATTAAACTAGCAGAGTGCAGATTGTACACGAAGAAGGAGCAAAGAATAGTTTCTACAGAACCCCACTAACCAACTCCCTAAATGACCTATATTGGGATTTTAATAATTATGCTTGCAGCCTGCAGAGGTGTATAATAAGTAATAATGATTAAATAAACGCTCTCAAGGGGGTAAAATTTACTAACGGAAGAAGTTTAGAACACCACCGGCCACCGCTTACTCGGTCAATATATTATCAATATAATTTTATGTAAACAAAATTAGGTATATTTTACATCATCCTAGTGGGACCACGGGTGGTCTACAAGCGGGAGTGTTAGCTTACACTTAAACATACACCAGACACCCTCCACCGCGTTTATTATTACATTTCGCATAAATATTCACGAACATGTGTTAGATATGAAGAAGGGAGGGTGAGCAGGTTAGATCACGTCTTGTTTATTATACGGAGAGTAACGCTGACAGTGGAGTGATAATTCTTAAAGTGGAGGCCGAGGGTTATTTACTTTTAGAACACAGCAGAAAAGAAAACCGAGCGCAGGCCGCAGAGGTATTATAAATGTATATCAATTAATATATAATATGTCAATGTTTACAGATTAGAAACAAGGACGGTCAAAAACTCGCAAGTTGTAATTCTTTTCGACTAGAGCAGAAGTGCGATTAACCACGCGAAATATTCTTACGACTATTTAGTTTACATCGAGTTGACATTAAATAATGACCAATCATGTCCGAACGTGTGTCCACACCCCTACTACAGCAAAACTGTTAATATGGTCATCCGGGTAGTGGCCACGCGTCAACCAGAATTTAAAATGGTAATTCCACCATTACCACCACGGCTCTGCAGACCTAAATAGAATTGCTGGCAATAATAATGGTGCAGGTTACACACCACCGGTGTGCAGAGGAACTATGGATATATTGGTTTCGCAAGAGACACGACTGCGCCGGAGAAGCTAATAATGATGATGTACGGTGTAGTACAAAGGTGCGAGCTGTCAGTGTTTAATTTCCTAGCACGTGCAAATCTAGAGGCTATTCTCACAACCTTGTACTACGTCGGAGCCAGCATAGTAATGAAATACTGACGGGTACAGTGAATAGTACTCATTGTGGGGGGAGCCAGGGTGCACCTTAATTAAAATTATATGCCTCAGTAATATAATTATGCCACGTAACACCAATGTGGATCAGGCAGAGTGACGAGTAGAAATATGAAAAGATGAAAAAACATTATATATTCAACATTATATGTTAAACGGGTACGTGCATAACAAAACCTACCCAGTGAGTACATGGGAAGGTGGATAATGTTAAAGTATACAATATCCCATCATAATTTAAAGAATACATTATATAATTTAATAGGAAGGTTTCCAGCTCTCACGGACGACCGGCTATGCTTAAAGTTAATCTCAACAAGTCCGACACAAGTATTGAGTAATCCTAAATTTCGGATAAGCTTCGACAGGGTTTTATAACAAAACATATATCAGATTTTAACAGTTAACCACGTGCTTCAAGAAAAGGAACTTGGATTTACGACAATGAACCGCTCTGAATAAGTGAGCTTCGATAAGCGTAGGTGGCCGGTTGGCTAGTACACAAGTTTAATATAATTGTATTGCTGGTGTCCATGCTATCTGGGGTACAAGTGGTTTGTAACTCAAGAGCCCCGCACCACACTCCACCTGGATCACGTTTCTGTGATGTGTGACGTGGTTCCTAACGGTTAAAACTGGGTGTGTTCTAGATTGTGATAATGAGCCCCAATGGGATCAGTAACCGGCAAGATGTACAGAAAACTACATTAACAGTGAAGAAAACCACGCACTGAAGCACACAGAAGTGTATGGTTCCTGAAACACAGGCCGGAAGCACATAGAGAGCGCCTTGAAGCACAGGTGGTGGAGGGAGGCTCACTGCCAGGGACGTGTAGGACTGGTGATATTTACACCATGTGTTCGGAGAGACAGTGTAAAGCATGGATATTGTTATAGAACACCTATTAAACAGTATGTAACTGTAAGATGTTCAATGAAATCAAACTGCGACAAAAAAAGGGTTTTTTAACACGTTGAAAATGTTTCGGTGAAAATCTAAACCATGTGTTAATTTTAAACACAGAAGATATCAGGAAACCAAAATTAACCCATGTCATATAAAGCTAAGGCCTGGGAAATGGTGAACACCAAAAAAAGTGTGCAGGTTCAGCCGACAGGTAACCAATAACAAACATGGGTAAAATTAGACGAGTGACGGCTGAGGGAGATGTTAGCTACCAGCTCACGTTACCAAACTGTGGTTACTGAATTTATAAGACACTTTAGGCACATCTGGTTACAGCGGCCGAGTATTCCTAACCACGGTAAATTATCAGGTAAATTATTAAATTGCATTACCTTGTTATGCTATCTTATGTGTGTGTTGGTGTGTGTGGCTAATGGTTGATGGTTATCACGGTGCACTGTACTTACTGCAGGGGAATATCAGAGCAACTTTTGTTTAACACTGAAACAAGATTCAGCTTCATTTCATACTTGTAAGAAAATGTGGTTGTACATTTTGGTTTATCTTTAACCTGGTTAGTAGAATTCAATGAAACCTAATGGCCATGATTAGGTTTAAAGCCCAAAGTACACGGATATGAACACACCAGCGGGCCGTGAAATTAAAAACT